ATTTTTCTGCGGAAGCTGGAACGATCATTCCAAACTTGATTAATTGATCTGCATCTAAAACGCGTTTCAGCTCGTTTTTGTTGGATGATCTTGCTAAAAAGCGAAATCAACCCGTCAAATATTGGTCATTTCCGCTAAACTTCACGTTGCATGTCAGATAATCTTGAGAAACCCCACATACATGTCAAAATGTCAACGATGTTAAAATCCTGCGTGTGTGATAAATTTGGTTCCATTGAATCTTATGTCTTAAGAAAAAATAATTAATATATAAATTAATTTTACCAGTAAAAATATTTGACCCAGGCCTGGAACTGTTTAAAATATATTCGGAAAAAAGCTTTTCCCCCGCTAAATTTAGCTACATTTCCGTTTCTACTAGTGGGGCTTTACTTTTTGCACGTGTGTGGCCAGTATTTCAATCATGCATGCCTTGCGGACCTATCTATGCCTATATAAATTGACCACTTTCGATATACTAAAATTCAGCTTGGCAGTGAGGCTTAGAGGACACACACAAAGGAAATTGAATGACATGTTTATTCGTTTCTTTTGCTTGTGTCCTCTAAGCCTCACTATCAAGCTGAAGTTTAATATATCGAAAGTGGCCTATTGCTTACCGCTTTTCCATCACAACCTTTGCTCGCATGACATCAGTAGCAGACTATTTGGCACGTTACCCAAACTCGTGATCCCAGTATCACGTAACCAGCTGAAGCAGTTTGTATTTTCACTAACGTTGTGGAATATAAGGATTGATATCACCAAAACCATGGCTGTTCAAAAGTAAAGTATACCTTCCTTTGCTTCTATTATTTCTGTTCTCTCCATTGTGTTTTACTGCGCCGGCTTTTTACGAGTTGAGCTGGAACTTCACGAGCAAAAGAAAAGAATAAACGCTCTTGAAAGCGTTGCGGAGGCCAAGTCGCCGTCAAACGACGCAGACATGAACATGATCAAGAATGCTCCTGGTAAGTTTTTCTCGTACAAGCTAGAGTTTACAAGTAGTTACCATCAAGGAATACAGTTATCACAATCAAAAATTGTTTCAATTACATATACCGAGTTTTGAGCCTGTGAGCGAAAAAAAAAAAAAATAATAATCACAAATTAACGTGTCGTTACGTGTCTGTTTGTGTTGTGCAAACACAATGTCTGAACTGAAGGTTAGCAGGTCAGGTTTACTTTAATCCACCGCAGACATTTTTGCATGAAAATAATGATTCATGATTCGGACGAATTTTTCCTCAGTCAAGACGAACTCGATGATAAGGAATAAGTTCCTTCACTTTTTCAGTTTGATCAAACTTGGCACACCGATGGGGTCGTGTTTGACAGTTTTCGCATCAGGACAGTGAACAGAGAATTAGTTGTCTAGTAACTTTTTTAACCTCGATTGAAGGAAACATCAAGTATTTCCGTTTTCCATTACGTGAAGCTAGTAAAGAAAACTTTATTCTCGCCTGCGGCGATAATGACAGCACGGACACCAAAAACTCCTTGCCTTTAGCACAAAGTTACGATGGTTGTAAATTCTTTGCATATAGTATCCTTTCCGTCCCTTAATTTGCCTTCAAATACGTTTTTCCTCTCTCCCCAGAAGTTCAATCCCCTAAACTCCACAGACACAGCCGTCAACTTGACTGATCTGGAAACTCGACAGAAGATGAACACACAGCAGAAACGATGCTCAAAATCAACAAACTTTTATCAGAGGCGAGAG